TCACCACCACTGTTACCATGGCCATCACCATCACCACCACCATCATCACAACCATCATCACGACCATCATCACTATTAATATCACCACCATCACCATCATCATGGTCATCACCATCATCAACACCATTACCACCATCAGCAGTATCACAGAGAATAATATTTATCACATGCCTACTATCTGTAGGGCTTTAAGTGCTTTACACATATTAACTCATTTAATAATTATTATAACTGCATCTAGTAGGTACTATTATTAACTCTCTTTACAAATGTGGGACTTGAGACGTGGACTCGCTCAAAGGCACCCAGCTTGAAGGTGGCAGGACCGGAGCTGAACACTGGCTGTGTGGTTTCAGACGTGACCTATACACATAAGCACTTCCCCACCTCCTTGCCTGGTTTAGCCCACCCTACAAGAACCTGTTTAAGATCCCAATTGCATGTGGGATTGCTCCCACAATCTCTGGAGCCCAAGATGAGGTCTACACTGACCCTGGTCTGGCTCTCACTGCTTCCCGTTGGCTCTTCCCCAGGGCTCCTTGGAGGGACACCATGAGATGGCCCTTTGGCAACCCCATTGCACTGGGGCACCATGGGGGGTAACTATTCAGGCCAAGTGGTCCTGGATATCACGGAGGACAGTCATAGTAGCACAACCTGGCTGGTGAGGACAAGAAAGGCCCTCTGCGATCTGGGGCCAGCAGCCAGAAGAGGGGATGCAGAAACTGCTACCAGCAGAGATGAAAGAGGTGGACGTTACAGTAGGTAGAACTAACAGAGGATGATGGGCAAGGGAGTAAAAAAGATGGGTGATCCATGAGCTGCCAGGCGTCTGCAGTGAGGGAAGGAGAAAAATCCCAGGTACACTGTATAATTAGGGTTATCAGTCCAGACATTCATGGCCATGAAGAGCTTAAGCTTCTCTCCCGACTCTCAGAACCATCATAGGCCCAGAATTCGTGCTCTGAGAAAGCTCTACTTTATTCGTGTTACTCCACATCCTCTATCCCCAAATTCACACAAAGCTTAAAGGGGGCATCAATCCTCGTTCTTCTAAGTTCTGAAGTGGCCACACACAGAGGTGAATGCAACTAGCACCATGTGTTTTGGTCTAACTCAGGTGTTTTTTTTTCTTTTTTTAATTGAATGAGTTGCCAACTTTCAGAAACCTGGAGATTTATTTATTTTTTTTAATAAAAATCTGGACTTTCAGCTTCTCTTTAAAATTTAAAAAATCTGGCAACACTGACATATATTCTGACAAGGCAGAGGCATGCTGGTAAATGTTTAAGACTCAGCTCACCAGGAAAACAAAATGCCCCTGATTTAAAGGATTTGCCAGTTTCCATTGGAAAAATACTCCCATCACAGCTGATTTCAGCCGCAATGACACGCAGAGAGTCGGCACCCATGAACCAAGCTAGTTGAGGGTTTTCAGTCTAAGAGAGTGTTCTGGCCAGCTATTTGACTTACTGCTGCCACCGACTCCTACCGAATCAATCTGAAGGAAAGGGAAAACCACACATCACCACTGTGAACGAGAGAAGAGCTGCACAGTTTTGCAACTTGCAAGAGCTTCACCAAGAGACAGTCCGGATTCACAAGAATCCCTGAATGGCAGCACCAACTGGCTGGCCAGTGCAAGAGATGGAAAGACTGACTACCTTGGGGGGGAGGGTAAAGGGCAGGGACCCCACAGAATCCCCTGACCACTTATGGCTCCCGGTTGGACATGAAGGTGAGCCATGGAATCAGCGGATGGTGTGAGCTCTGCTCCTGTTCCAGCCTGTGTGGACGGGGACAACATGTGGCATGGGGACAGCATGCTGGGGGGGGGGGTTCCTATCAGGACGCAGAGGCCAGCGGGAGGGGGAGGATGCTGCTTCTGCCAGCTTCCCCACCACGGACCACCCTCTGTCTGCAGCAACCCCCACCTCCCCTTCCACTGCCCTTGCCCCCAGAAACATGTCAGTCAAGCTAAGCTTCTGCCTCGACCCTTTGTTTGGGCCTGAAGGAATTAAACCAAGGCCTAGAAGGACCAGAGTCCTTCCTAGCTTTGTTTTTCTTTTTTTGTCCTGTATACATGTTGCTCTGGAAATAAAGACAAAGGGTAGGAGGAACATCATATGGTTGGGCCGTATGGAACCCAGGCACAAACTGGGAGGCCAGTCATGCCAGTATCCCAAGAGCCATCACCACATGGCTTCCTTCACTCCCACACCCTTATACTGCCTTGTTGAGCTGGTAGCACTGGGGAGCCTGAAACCACAAGGTCCCAGTGGGAAAGAGGGGCACCCAGTTTATAGGAAGGAGGACAGAACAGGCGCTAGCAAAGGCTGTGCTTTGCTGGGGTGACTGGGGGGCCTTGAGGGAAGGCTGGGGGGCTCCCGCTGAGGCTGCGGCTCCAATCCGGACCCTCACGAGAGACCAGTGACTTCACTGCAGCTACTGATTTTCCTTCTGCTCAGCCCCTCCTTAAAACCACTGCCAAGCAGAGGGCCATTTCCCCTTCAGAAAATTCCAGAGGCTTCCTGCTGCCCCTGAAGAAGGCACATCACGGCAGTGTTGTCCCATCCTGTGAGTCAGGAATCAAATCACTTCTAGAGCACTGAAGAGTGCTCATGCCCATCTCAAGAACTAACGCTGAAGTTAGGGATCATGTCCTATACAACCAGGGACCCTTCCCCCTAGTACTGAGCATAGCACTCATTGTGCTGTAGGTGGTTCATGGAGGAGATGCTTTCTGGATGAGTTGAGAGACAAGTGGTCATGGAGACGCGACCCAAACATGACTTCCTTCCTTCAGCAACATTCACCCTGTGAGCCTCGCTTTATATACAATGAGGTGAATTGGACCAAGGGAGGTGGAGCAACTTTCCCAGATTCAGTTACAACAAGGAAGACACTTCCAAAGTCCATGGCCTTTCCGAGCAGCTGGGCGCTCCCATCCGGTATGATTCTCTCCTTGCCCCCAGGAAGCAGGTGGGACCTGTCACAGAGGAGGAAAATGGAGTCCCATGGCCAGTAAATGGATTCACCTTGGTGGGGACCCACAGAATGCCCATATCCTGCACCGGGGCCAATTTTAGAAGGCAGAGGGAGGGGCATGGAGTCCAAGTGGGGAAGGGGACACAGAAGAGGATGAGCAGAGGTTGACAGCAAGAGGATATATAGCCTTCCACAGTGCTTGGCAAGAAGACCACGAGGCTCCCACCAAATTCCGGCCCCCATACCTGCACGGCCACCACTGACAAGACCTCTACTGAGATTCGGTTAAACTCATCAAAACAGCCCCAGGCACCGGTCTGAGCAAGGCCTTTGTAGATGTTGCCGCAAGACTGCAATGAAACGTACAAAGATTAAATTACTCTCAGTGCCGGGCTCATCATCACGCATCTAAGTCAGTTCCCATCCTGTTTGTGAGAGATACTTCCGGTCCCCTAAAGACCGCTAGTTCAAAAAACTCCTATTAAAATTTCAAGGGCAATTACATTTTTGATGGCCATGGGTGCCAATGTAAGTCACGGGGTCAAACAGAACCTTTTTAAGACACTTGGACCAAAATCCCTTTAAAATGTCATCGGGCTTGCATTACTGTTGATTCTGTAGCTTTCAAAATCCCAGGAAATGAAGAAAATTTTGTTTTTTGTTTTTTTTGGGTTTTTTTTAGACTATACATACAACCAATCAATCAATCAATCAATCAAGCCTTCCACTCAGCCTTTGGCATGTGCTGATAAACAAGTTTATGTCTGTATCTTTAGATCCGGGCCCAAACACCCAGCCCTCCCAGAGTGCTAGGAAGCTGGAGAGGGATGGAGAAAGTGATAAGATCCATTGAAAGTGAATGACAGGTAAACATTTTCAAATGAGAGCAAGAAAAGAATTTCAAAGGGGAGATGGCATATCTGTCCTAAAAATAAAAACTGTCTGGGCATTCGGTGTGAATCAGTAAACCATGGAGTCAATACAAAGGGGGAGGTTATGGGGGGACACTCTCAAGGCCATTGGCAGGGTGACACTGCTAAAGCACTGGGAAAGTAAAAAAGTCCCATTTGCTTCTGTAATGGGTGTTTGCTGACCATCAGCTCTGTGCACAGCTCATGCTCTAGACACAGAAGGGCTTAGTCCCTCTAAGAGCTTCTAGTTAGGCTGTGGAGAGAAGGCATACAGACAACACATGTAAATTGCCACAGGAGCAGTGGTTCCAATGGACATAGTAAAAGACACAGCTGTCATGGCGTTCAGAGAGGAGTGAATCGAAGCGCTGCCAGGGATCAGTGTTGCCAAAGAGCTAAATTTCAGACAGTATTAGGACAGCATTTCCCAAAGTTTATTTCATGGGATGCCAAATCCAGGAGATGCTCCTTGAAGAGAAGGTGTGTGCGTCAATCGAGTTTAGGAAACGCCACATTCTAGAACGCTCTTTTGCTAATTTATGACATATATTAGAATTTTAAGGGAAGGACTAAAGAGTCCTGCCCATGAAATTCAGTCAGTGTTTTAGGGCCAGGATTTTTTGCTTTCCTCATGGGGCTCCTGGTTTTCTCAGGATGCGCGCTGGCGAACATTCATGTAGTGGACAGAACGGAGGAAGGGAAGTCAGAAGATCTGGGGTGCTGGTATCTCACAGAACTGTATGCTCTCTTCAGAACACACCGTGGGAATGCTGGCTGATTAGTATGTGTGTAGGCAGAATGGAAGGGGATAGGGAAACGGGTAAGGGCTTTCTGGGAGCAGTAAATATTATGGGCACAGGATGAGCAAAATCACGGTATGTCCAGGGAAAAATAAAGGTGTCATTTGGGCTGAAAAGTTGACTCACAAAAGGAGGTCATGCTTATGAAAAGCCTTGAATTATTTGAAGGGACCGTGGAGGTCTGTGGAGGTTTGGAGCAGAGGAAAGCAAGATTAAAGGAACATTTTAGGAGATCCGATCTAACATCCCATAAGCAAGCGTGTGAAAAGGACGGAACGATAATCCCCACCTTTCATTAAGCTCCCTGAATTAATGGATTCCTCTATTCATGCAAAAATACTTTCTGAGCATGTACTATATGGGTCAGGGACTGTCCTAGGTCATGAGGAATCAGCTGTGAACAGGGAGACAAAGCCACAATCTTCATGGGGCATACATTCTAGGGGAGAAAACAGACAATGACACAAAAAGAAGAAAAGGTCAGATAATGACAAGTCTCAAGGGAGTCCTACAATGGTGTGGTTATTTTGGACTGAGTAGCCATAGATGGTCTCTCTACGGAGGAGGTGACATAAATCCCAGCTGTTGTGTCCTATAGGTGGATATTACTATTAATGTATTCATGAGTATGTATGTCTGTATATATAACACCTGATATGCATATATACAGTGATATACATTCTATATATTACTATATTTAACAACCTATCAAATTTCACAATTACTTATGTGGCAGTTTGGGAATCAAAAGTCCATGCTTTTGCAGATGAACAGTGGTTCTGAAAGATTTTAAAGCTGTGGACCCCTTTCATCAAGTGGAAATCCAATAGAGAAGACAAAAAAAGAAAAGGGTAAAGTTTCCATAGGTGGATACTGGTTACCCCCACACTTTACCCCAAGGGCCTGAGCACAGCCTGGGACCCCACACCACCATATTTTTTCATGCCACCACAACAGTATGAAGGTACTGTTAGCTTGATTGTGGTGTCACCTAGCACAAGACACCAAATTTCTGGGCTAGGATGAGGGCAGTAAGAATAGGGCCAATGGTCTGGGAGCTTTGAAAGACCGGCTGAAGGACGAATCAACACTAGGACTAATTGCAACTATGGAAAGAAAGACGTAAAAAATCAGGATGTCTAAGATTGCCACCCTGGGCCACAGGGGAAATGAGAACCTTAGCGTGCATGGCATGGGGAATCTGGGCAGGGGGAGGATGGGGGGGTGGTCAGCAGGAAATGTCTGAGAAGAGAGTGTTAACCAAACATGAGGGTATCCAAATGCCCTTCCTTCTAGTTGGGAAGACTTAGTTCTTGGGTGAGGCTGGAAGGTAGATTCTGGAGTCATCAGGACCCAGATAAAATGCGAAGTTATAAAAGAGGATCCGAGAAGGAGATCCAGATGGCAGGATCAGAGAGTTATTGTGGAATATAATGTTTCAGAGACCAAGAGAGTAGGGTTTCTCAGGAAGGAATGCATGTTCTACAACGTTAATGCTGCAGAGAGGTCCAAAAGAATCCCAGGTCTTTCAGGTTCAAAACCACTTGCTACTGCAGCTATAGCATCTCTGAATTGAGGTCAAGGGGGACAGTACTGTTTCTGTGACATAAAGAACACCTTAGCACCAAAACTGCAATGGTTTCCAGAGGAACTGACTAGGCCAACAGGTTTTCCAACCAGAATTAACAGAGGGGAGCCATAACTTTGCCTTTTTCCCAAGTCTCCACCTTGTTCTGTGTCCACCCCAATACCTGATGCCTCTTGTGGGATCACAGAGGCAGAAGGCATTGTGAGGGTCCCTGACTACAGCCCATCTCTCCTCTTTACCCTCCCCCAGTTTCACCACACAGCCCTCCCCACATTCACCAGGTATCATTCCGTTTGTTAAAGTCTCTCATGTTTTCTTTTCCATTTACACTACCCCAGTGTCTGGGGGTTCACCCTCTCCGAGTTTGAATAACTGCAACGTTCTTGGCGAAAATTTGCCCTCCTTCCAGTCCCTTCCTGCCTCCATTCGTCTGGCTACCCAAGGAGTCTTCCTCAGATGCCACCCATTTTCGTCATGCTCCCACTTGAGTCCTGAAGCCCACAGGATCTTCGTGAATGGCCACCGCTTCTGGGGCATGTTCTCTTCATGGCTCTGTGTCCCTCCCCTCCTTGTGGAACCCCTATCTCCTATAATCTGTCCGCTAGTCTGCTCTCATGCACTTGGCCGCTGCTCCATATTTATTGCTAGCTTGTTCTCTGGGGATACAGAAACAAGTGGTTGTGAGTGTTGTGAATGACTCATCAGAATGATGCCTGGTGAAGTGTGGGACAGCTCTTCCTGACCCTCCCTCTGTCCTCTCCTCATCCCAGCCAATCCCTGTGAGGACAGCTGAAGGGAGCAGTCAGAGTGAGGAGCAGGGAAAGGGTGATGATGCACAGGAACTCTGTCATGTCTTTGAAGCTGACGTTTTAATGGGTTAGGCAGTGTTAAAATGGCACACCCCCTGTTTGGCACTCACCCAAACCTCACACAGCCTTGGGTCTCACATCCTCCAGGATGTCCATGACAAGCGTACCCTGGGCTCCTCCCATCTCTGAAGTATTCCAGGGATTAGAATCTGCAGAGCACACATTCTACATGCTATTTGGTATCGCCCCTAATCATTTCATACATCTCTCTTGTCTATCCAGATAGACTGGGTTACACTTTGTCTGTCTCTGTATCCATCCATCATTTGTCTATCATCCTATCATCTCTCTCATCTCTCTGTCATCTATCCATCAACCTATGTGTATTTATCTGTATCATATATCCATCCATCCATCCACCCACCTACCCATCCATTCATCCATCCTTTCATGATGCACACACATGCTGAGCAATGGTGATACTAAATAAATTAACTTGATGGCTAGAGAGTGTTTTGTGATGAAAATAATTCTAAACAGCTGGACAACAAAGGGAAGAGGAGGTTTGCGAACAGCTCAGTGAGGATGTTGTTTACATAGGATATTTGGTGCCTTGGAAGAGACCACCATCCTTTTGGTGTATTTTCCTATAGTCATCCCTGTAGTTCTTGCTCTGATCTGTGTCTTCATAGACTTGACCAAAGCTTTGCACAGTCCAGACAAACTACAGATAGACCCCTCTTCTCATCCTGTACCCTCAGAGGAATTGGTGGAGTATCAGGGTTCAGTAGTAAGTTTTGAAAGAATTGGCCTCCTCACCATGGGGCCAACTCATTTATTCCTGTTTGGCATGCCAAGCATAAATTTGAAGAAATCCTGCTGATTTTCTTCAGTCAATACACCAGGTCTTCTACATCTAAATGAGTGTGTCCTCTGGAATGTCCCTCTGGGGAGAATATACTTATTCAGCAATGCTGCCTTTTGCTCAACTATGGGAAAATCTAGAAACCTAATCCTTAAAGGTTGAGTTTATAGGAAAAAAACATATCCCTCTTTTAGCCTGATTTAAAGAGAAATACTACTTAAAAAATTTTTTTTAGAGAGAGCACACATGTGCGCACACATGCTCACATGGGCGGGGGGCAGAGGAAGAGGGAGAGAGAGAATCTTAAGTAGTCTCCACACCCACCATGGAGCCCAACTCATGGCTTGATCCCACGACCCTGAGATCACTACCTGAGCTGAAATCAAGAGTCAGATGCTTAACTGACTGAGCCACCCAGGTGCCCTATTTTTTTTTTTTCTTAGAGAAATAGTACTTTAATGTGCTCATCAATAAAAGCAACCATGATAAAATTTAGACTGTGTAGAATATGAGGAGGACAGCTGTTTGGCATCTGAATCCTCATTTTGTTTGCTTGCTATGAGCAAACATGGTGCTTTAGGTTTCTGCAACTCTTTGCACAGCAAAATTTTCCGTACAAGAGAAATTTTAAACTTACAGCAGATGAATCTCATTTAGAGTTCTATATGTTAGCTCACAGTCCCTAAGATTATTTTAAAATTAAATTTATTTTGTACCCCATGTATCATGATTTATACATTTTTCCCCCCACTCTAAATTTATTTACACGCCATCCTGTTTCAAAAGGAACTTAAGACAGTTTACCAAAATAATACAATAAAACAAAATTAAAATAACGAGAAAGTGAGACAATTTCATTACACTTAAAAAAAATCTATATGACATCTAGCAGAATACTGCTAACTAAGAAGTGACCTATGGGGCTCTTGTTTCTCTTGGCTTTTCTCTATGTCGCAGAACCTGGAATACATTTAAAAACTAAAAATGATGAGCACCTGAATGAAGAACATTGGCCTTGCACTCGACCTTCGTGGGCATCACTTGTTAGGAGTGGAAGTTAATCTAGTCTGCCTTCAGAAGTCACACCTGCCCTTGTAAAATATTTTGCCCTTGTTGAAATACTGGGAAAGTGCCCACTTTTCCAGAGAAGCACAAATTTGACTTTTATGTGAGGATTTCATGGGAGCCACTTGTGAGCCTTTCCGTGGTTCTAGGTCAAACAGCATATGTAAGCCTTTGGATAGATGCTCAGCCTCTCCTTTATACAGGTGACAAAAGATCTCAAAATGAAGCTCATCAGCTTACAGGGAGGTTAACAAGCTCCAGGGATCAGAGATCCTCAGGTCTCCTGGGATGGAGCCAGCAGACGCCTCCGTGTCTGGACCTCTGAACTGGGCCAGGTTGGCATGAATGAATCTGGACCCCAATGTAGGCTGCCACCCAGTTCCTAGTCCCCACCCCTGCCCTGCTCCAGTTGAGGCGTACCTTATAGTCCATCTGCTCTGAGCAGTTGAACACGTACACCATGATGCCCAGTGCTCGGCCCAGGTCCTTGGTGGTCTCTGTCTTGCCAGTGCCTGCAGGTCCTGCTGGGGCTCCACTCATGGTCAGGTGCAGAGACTGGGTGAGGGTGATGTAACATCTGTCAAACACAGGAGCACGTAGGTCATTGCCAGGGCCCCAGGCGGCCTGACCAATGGCTCTGGCCCTGCTGGGTCCTAGGGAGATAGAGCTCGGGTTCCAGGCCACAGGAGACCTGACAGCTTCTCTGTGAAGGAAATCCAGAGCCCCCACTCCCATCTGTACCCCATGGTGCTGTGGGGAGAACTCTCCGAAGGGTCATCTGATCCTGATTTTCCCTCCCTCAAGGGCATCACCGGCTCACAGCCAGGCTCTTTCTGATCTTGCCCCTGTTCACTGCCCATCTCTCCCAACCCTCCAGCCCCAACGCCCTACAGTGCCTTCATGGAGAGCTATTCTCACATGTCCATGCTACATTCTGAATGTCTGCGTGCTCCAGCTCCCAGTTCGTATGTTGAAATCCTAACCCCCAGAGACTATGGTATTGGGAGGTAGGGCCTTTGGGAGGTGATTAGCTCATGAAGGTGGAGCCTCATGAATGGGATTAGTGCCCTTACAAAGGAGGCTCCGAAGGGACCCGTTGGCCCTTCCACCATGCGAGCGCACAGCGAGAAGACAGCAGCTCATACAAGAACCTGACCATGCTGGTGCCTTGATCTTGGACTCCCCAACTTCCAGAACTGTGAGAAATAAATTTCCATTGTTTATAAGCTACCCAGTCTGTGGTATTTTATTGTAGCAGCTTAAACGGACGAGGAGACCCAGACACACGAGGACTGCGTTCGTCCCTCTTTCCCTCCATCCAGCCCTAGCCCTTCTGGTCTGCCTGAGTCATGTCCTTCTTCAACACGGCAGTCTGTAGCCTAGCCGGTGGCTACTCACATCTTGGGTCTCATATGTGACATTATTTCCCCCACTTAGGAGTATTCCCGCACCCCTTGACACTGGGGGGAGTGAGCAGATGCCCCTTGGCTGAGCTCCTCCTCCAGTGTGTTCCACTCCAGCTTCCAACGATACATACCACACACACTGTTCATACAGATCTTCATAAGACACACGAAAACGGGGCCATGTCTTATTCATTGTTTCATCTCCAGAAACTAGCACAGCTCCAGCCACATTAGGCCCTTAATAATTATTTATGAAACAAATTCATGAGTGAAAGGATCAATCACTCCATCCGTTTAACCCTCCTGTGACTATCTTTCCTAATGACAATAAAATAAAACCAGCTTTAAGCTTCTTTCTAGTACTTTCTATTTTTTAGGTTTATTTATTTTTTTAGAGAGGGGGAGGAGGGGACAGAGGGGGAGAGAAACTCAAGCAGACGCCTCGCTGAGCGTGGAGCCCGACGCAGGGCTCAATCCCACGACCCTGAGATTAGGACCTGAGCCAAAACCAAGAGTCAGATGCTCAATCAACTGCACCATCCAGGACACCCTTGTTTCTGGTACCTTTTAAAAAGGGTAATAATTACCTTTGGGTAATAAACACATTAAAAGATGTTGAAAACCACTGGTCATTAGGGAAATGTGAATCTAATCCTCAATGAGATACCATGATATACCCGTGAGGATGGCTATAGTAAAAAAGACAGACTAGAACAAGTGTTGGCAAGGATGTGAAAAAACTAGGAACTCCTACACAGCTGGTGGGGATGGAAAAATAGTACAGCTACTTTGGAAGACAGTTTGGAAGTTTCTTAAAAAGTAAAGCTTACTGGGGCACCTGGGTGGCTCAATTGGTTGGGTGTCTGACTCTTGATTTCTGCTCAGGTCCCGATCTCAGGGTCGTGGGGCTGAGCCCCGAGTCAGGCTCCCTAGGCAGCAGGGAGTCCACTTGGGATTTTCCCCCTCCGCCCTTACCCCCGCTCACACTCTCTCTCTCTCAAATAAATAAAGGAATCTTAAAAAACAAAAACAAAACAAAACAAAAACGTAAAGCTTACCATGTGATTCACTAATTCCCCTTCTAGGACTTTACCCAAGGAAACTGAGCATTTATGTACAGACAAAGACTTTACCCAAGGAAACAGCATTTATGTACAAAGACTGCTAGGAATGTTCCTAGCAGCAATATTCTTAATGCCAAGAAACTGGAAATATTCCAAATGTCCACCAATTGTTATTGGATAAAAAATTATGAGATGTATCCATGCAGTGGAATACTATTTAACAATATAAAGGAATGAAGTACTTATGGATAGGTGTTACAAGAAGAGGAAACCCAAGAAGCATTATGCTAAGTCAAAGAGGTCGGAATCAAAATATTGCATAGTGTATCATTTCACTGATGCAATGTCTGGAAAACAGAGACAGATGGTGGATCTGGGGCCGCCTGGGTAGAGGACATGGGATCGATCACAAAAAGGGTGATGGCCAAGTTTGAAACTGGATGGTGGTAATGGTTGTACAACTCTACAAATTACTAAAAGTCACTGAATCATACACTTAAGTTATCTCTACACCCAGTGTGGGGCTCAAACTTACAATCCCGAGATCAAGGGTTGCACACCTCACCGACGGAGCCAGCCAGGCGTCCCTGAATTGCACACTTGTGATGGGTGAACTGTAAAGCATGTAAATTATACCTCAAGAAAGCCACTAAAAATGTGCCATTGGCCTAACTTTTTTAATACCTAGCAAATTAAAACACAGGCTCTCCACCTGCAGCCTGGACCAGGAGGGGCCATCCAAGGGGGTCTCTGAAATGAATTCTGTTTCTGAATCTGACGTCTAGAGTTCACCTCACACCCCAGACTAATGCCCTTCATGCCAGATGGTGATTGTGTCTCCAACAGAACCAAACTGGGTTTGAAAAGACTTGCAAGGAGTCCCTGAATTCTCCTTTAATTGAGTGCAAAATTCCTGTATGTAGTTTTGCCTTTGTATATGAAGCCCAGGAAGGTAGGTTTCCCAGGAGGAGAGGACAGTTGTACGGAGCTGCCATGGCAGCATTTAGGTGCTGGTCTCCCCCTGGAGCCTCACTTTCCCCTGTGGATTAAGCTCATGTTCAAGTTGCTGACCTGTGGAATGGACCACAAAGCAGGGTGAGTCAGGGCGAAGGGCAAAAGCTCAGGCACTGTTACCGTTTGGAAATGCTTCTCTCCTCTAACATTCCTAGCTAGATCGTCATGGAGGCGGTGCACAGCTTTAACCATAGCTGCCCTTGTGGGCTGGGTTCTGGCTCCAGACTGGCCCCAGTGCCTTCCACACCTCCCAGCCTCAGGCTTCTTCCAGGACTCTCCAGGGCGGGCTGCAGCCCTGTACCTCCCGGAAGGAAAGGCAGGAGGACTGGCAGAATCCTGGCCTCCTGCCAGCTCTCCTCCCCACTCCCCCCCCCACCCCTTCTCTGTCTTCCTCTGCTGGCTGGAGGGCACTCCCAGACCTCTTCTCTCTGCAGGCGCAAGGCTCTCAAGGAATCCGGGAGTCCAGAAGCACAAGGTTTCACAGAAATAGAATTAGCCCAGAAAACTCTAGAATCTCTGGAAAGAAATCCTTGGAACTGGGTGTCAATCTCTTTTTGAGCTTCTGTGAGTTTCTGATTATCTCCAGAAGAAGCACTTGGGGGCAGGAGGGGGAGTCCCAAAAATCCCCAAAACACAAAAAACATTTTTCTTCCCAAAATAGCAGAACTCTAGAGCTAGAAAGGATTTCTGAGCTCAGCTAATCCAACAGCCTTATTTTACAGATGGGAAGCCTAAGGTTCAAGAAGGGGAAGCGGGCTAAGGTGTTCTAAATAATGAAGGCAGGAGCAGTGGGCTGTTACCTTGGGCCATAAGAAAAACACAAAGGAACGGTATTTCCCTCTTCTGCATGAGGATTGCCATTATGGTTGGGCCACTGGCCGACAGGCTGTCTTAGGCCTCAGGGACACGGGCTCCTGCTCTAAAAATTCCATCTGCGGTCTTGTTGGCTTGTTCATCTCTGTACCCATCAAGCCGTCCACTTCAGTCTGTGCCTGTTTCCCACAGAGGAGGCTGGATCACACTATCGTGGTCTAAGGCAAGGACTCTGGGGTCAGACAGAGGTCAGAGGTCACCTCTGCTCCAAAGTGTTTGTGCAACTGAGCCAGGATCGCCACCCTTGGTGCCTTACAAAAGGTGTCCCTGGAATCCATCACGTGGGTTTTGCTTTGCACCAAGGAGTTCACGATGCTTGCGGCTTTAAACCAATAGCAGTTGTGGGATTGGCAAGGTGGCAAGGACTCCTGTAGGAGGCGCTCTTGCCTGGCCAACTGGCCTCAGTGTAGCTAATGGGTCGATTTCGTCTGGCTGTTCCTGGGCACACAGACCCTTTTGTGTCGGCACAGACCGCAGGGGTTCTGGCCTCTTCACCAAGCCAGCCTCTCTCCCATCAAATCCTCCCAAGAGGACCACAAAGCCTTTTCCTCCAGCGGGGCAGGGTTTATTATTCTAGAAGGCGGCCCCTTCCACAGTGGGCCAGTCATAACTGTTTGAGAGGCTTTCCTACTATCAAGCAGAAGTCAGTCTTGTTCTCTTTGGGCAAATGACTTCTACAGGTCTTATTCTTATCTCCCCCCCGCAAGCTTTTGTGAGGATAAGATGAGAGATAGGAAGGGGCCTTGGAAAGAGAAGGTCAATCCAAGTGTAAAGTATCATTTTTGAAGGTGACAAACACATGCAATGTAGCTTTTCTTTTTTGATACAGTTATTCAATTGGCAGCTTAAAGAAAACATCAAAGCCAATGCATCTTGATTTCAGCTATAAATAGCCTGTTGCTATCCCAGAAATCTGGTCTGACTAATCTTAGAGCTGGTGAAATCACAGTTGGTTTGTATTCATCTTCTACTGCTGTATAAGAAATCACCGTAAACTAAGTGGCTTAAAATAACACTCCTGTATTACCTCCCGCTTTTAGGTCAGAAGTCCAGGTGGCTCCTCCACAGAGGGTTTCACAAGACCAAAATCAACGTTATTAGTTGGCTGGACTCTTATCTGGACACTATGGGTAAGAATCTGCCTCCTAGCTCACTTGAGTTCTTGGCAGAATTAAGTTTCTGTCAGTTGCAGGACTGAGGTCCTGTTTGGTTGCTGTTGG